TCGTGGCTGGACGCAACAAATGGGATCGAGTCCTTGAGAGATAGAAAGATTGTGATATTTGAAGCAACTTGTACTTCAACATCAAATCACCTTTCACTAAACAAAGGAAGGCCGAAAGAGCTTTGTCATGCTTTCAAAGATATGTGTATATAAGATGTAGAGTGTGGACTGTGGAGTGCCACAAAAAAAAAAAAAAAAAGATAAACAAAACTCTTACTTTTTCTTGGCCATTCAAAGTCCCACACCATGGATGAATCAGAGAAAAGTGCCACAGTATGGAAATTGTGGGTCCAATACCAAGTGTATAAGTGAATTTCTTTTTCTTTTTGTCTAAATTGGTCGGGAAATTCATTGAAACTCCTCTGATTAGGGATAAGAAATGTTTCTTAAATTAAGCACATCTCACTTAATTATGTAGTATGAACGAACTTTGCCTTATACAATGTGATAGTGTACTTACACATATATAGAGTGTGCAAATGCGTAAACTTATCACCAACCGTTGGTGTATGCAAATGTTCAATAATTATACATCAAAGCGTAGTCGATGAAAGTGCAACCAATCGTTCATTTAAGTTTAACAATTATATCATCAAAATAAAGCACAAATTAATGCGCTAAAGTACCTAGATGACATGATTATACAAGTGGGCAAAAAACGGGGGTCCAGCAAACTAATGATAGTATGAGATGTCATTTTTCACAAACTAATTAAACTTCATGTATTTTTTAATTGTGCTCCATCATTGTCCTTTAGACATTTAACAGGAAACTTTGTCTTAAATGATACAATGTATTTCTCTTATTTTCTGGGGCTTTGAAAACCTTGAAAAGTTCCTCAAATGGTGGGGTGCATGGCACCCAACCTTTCATATCAAGCAAGAAATTACTGCTTAATCCGAAATCTAACCCTATGTGCTTGTCATGATCATCTAAAGAAAATTTCATATCACCTAAAGGAAATTTTACATTACCTCCATATAATTTATATAGAACCCCACAGAAAGTAGCAAAATAATGCTATCCAGCTTAAGAAGCATAACTAATCATGCCTTGATTTGCATAAACCATCTTATTATAATTAATTACGATGGAAGCAGGTAAAAATGATTTGCCCGTGGAAAGTCGCGGAACAGGTAGGTCGGTTTGGCATGCATGGAAATTAAAGGGCTCCTTCTTTTCTGAATGGTGTTTTTTCAACATCACCAGCTGGCAGCTTCTTATGGTTTCTTTAACATACGAGAAATTTTTATTACTGGAAATACAAGTCACACGGTGTATTATTTTTTACCTGTTATAATAAAAGTGGATGATATGGTTGATGCCTCATACTTTTATTGTATATTAACAAAAAACAAGTTCACGTGTTATATAAAGTAATAACGCTAGTCACAAGGGGTTGGTTTAGTGCAAAACAAGCAAAGGTTTGAAACTCTAAACTCAAGTTCGACCTCTCATGAGTGCATTCCTTATGGCCACCATAGGCCAAAAGTACTCTACCATCTCATGGTTTATCGGGACCTACACGAAAAAAAGATTGGTTTGCCATTAATGCCACGTGGCCATGCTTCGATACATCAAAAAACTGCTCAGAATACACCTAACTCGAACAACTTTGAGCCCGATCCATTTACTACTCTTTTGGTCGTATACTAATATGTACGTACATGTTTCTGAGCTGCTGGGTAGCTAGGACATAAAACCATATAATGCGATTTGATCCGATGAGAGACAGAGAGTCTTCTTTTCTTGCCATATCCTGTCGAATTTCCCATGGAAGTAGATAGCAGCATTCAATACTGAAAGCCACTTTGCCCTGACCAACAAGGACACTACTGCTCTCGTGAAGTTGTCACCCAATAATTGAAGACCAAGCTTTATCTTTACACTTGGTGATGATGAATATCTGTTTTCACCAGTTCAAATAATAAGGGTTTAAGGGCCATTGGTTAGTATTGGCTCTCATGAATCATGTTACGTAGTCGTAACTTTGCATGAATTACGCATACGGAAGATTTCACTCCCATTTTGTCTTTCCATAAAGCTTTGGAAGAGTGCATGGCTAATCACATTTAGCCCTCTAGTTAGAAATAAATTTGGTTGCAAACTGATTAAATTCAACAAAATTATGGGAACTATTATTAGCACGTTAGAAATCTGATTGTACATTACTTATAAGAGTTTTTTTTTTTTTTTTTTTTGTCTTTTGAAAAATATAGAAAGTATGGAATGTCAATGTTAATTCTCAAGATTATTTGTATAGACAACTGACACTGTGGCATATGCATGTTTCGGACACGATACGACACCTTAATACAACTTGAAACATCACTAATATATATATGACTTATTGCATGGTTAATAATATTAACATTGTTTAATTAATACAATATATAAATAAGTAAACTGGAATACAGCCCATTGTCACAAGAGATTTTTTCTTGCAACTAGTGCCATCACGTGACAATTACATATCTAACGAAATATAATGTACTATTTGAATACATGATAATAATCTATTTCATCACTGGTGCCAATAAGATAATGCAAAGTGTATTCACACACCCATTTTTACATCTCATACACCCTTGTTAATTTTTTGTCATCGATCTTCTTCACTTCATTCAATCCGATAGCCGAAAATTGAGAGAGTTGTGTGAAAAGTCAAAATAGGTGTGTGGAGAACACTACCCTAAAATAATATATTGTCAAGATGAATTCTCTCCATTGCCACCCTTTTCATCATGCTATCATGATCAGTTCATAGAACGCGTTGTAATGGTTAATTAACAGCTTGGATTAAGAGTTAACAACTACGTGGAATCCACTACTAGATCCTTGAAAGGTGGAAATCATTGCACATTGACCCCTAGCTTTCTCTCTTTGCTTAATTGGACCACTTTATTATATATAGCTCCAGACTCCAGGCTCCATCTGTGCACTGTTGCATGCGTTTGTAAGATGCATCATTTTCTTTAAGCAAGCAGCTAAGATTCTTCAGCAGATAATTAAGGTTTGATTCCGATTGGTAACTAGGCTTAAATTAATTGCTAGTGTTCATTTAAAAAATAAACAAAATACTAATAATAATCAAGACTATCAGCTGTCAAGAATTGAATATCCCCCATTCCCAATCCCGTTTGATTTTATAATGTGAAAAGGAAAATAATACTATTAGGGAGAGTGTTATCCAAGTTGTGTATAAAAACAGCGTAAACAACAAACATGCCGTAGTTTTCTTAACGATTTTTGGAAAAAAAAAATGTTAAATTAGTAACACGTTTTGGTTGGCATTGTCCTCTGGAAATGTCTACTTGCTCGACGGAGTCTGAAATTCCTCAATTAAAAATTTTAAACTCCGAATTTGTGCAACGATTTTTGCCTAATAAATGACCATCGCCTTACATGTTACACAACAAATCACTATACTTTAGCGGACGAATATTTTCGTCCACAAGTGGTTTTTTTGTAGTGAGTAATATATACATATATACATGTATATATATATGTATATGTACTGAATATCATAAGGAAATTGTGGTACAAATTTTTTTTAGGGGGTGGTGGGGGAGGTCAACTTCCACCTCAAGGCACTGCTGTGTTTTATTTGTCCCTAACCGCGACCACTTTTTAAAAATTTGGGGACAAAATTCGGAACTGGACAGCGGCAGCCACTTTGCTACGTGCTCCCACATTCTATGAACCAAAACTAGTACGTGGTTTCTTCTTTTGATGGTCAACACGAAAAGTAGTGGTTGAATCCTACTATCATGGGAAAATGAGAACAGGAAACACAAGTCACTATTTTTTTTTTCCTAGTATGGAGTGATATTTAAGTGTTGGGAGTATGTTGAATTTTTGTTTCGTGAAATATTAGGCTTGAGTTTTTCACGGCATGCTTATTTTAACGTAAAAAATTTTCATCTTTTAAAATTTAGGGTGCGTTGGAGCCTAAGATAATTACTAGCTGATTCCATTCTTGAGTCATATGGTATATTACTTTACGTGTTATAATGAAAAAGAACAACAAAATTATTTTGTTACGTTACCGCGGGCCAAGTAAAAATTGAGAAAAATACCTTAAGAAAAAAACTAAAAAGTCGCAAAATCCTTATCAATGTAGGTAGCATGGATTGAAGTCATGCTTTGACTTTCAACATTTTACAACCTTTGCCGTTATATAAACGAGCAGCGATTGGTCATAGGTTCTAGGTGGGTTTGGTCACTAATTTCATAAATCTTTTAAAAGTTGGATTGGGAAATAAGTTATGATGATGTTCCAAATTTTCAAAAAAACTGCTAATATTGTTCACACCACATTCACACATGAAGAAAATTATGTTACGGTTACGTTTTTATTTGAAGTGACTATCTATGCATTACTTGAAAGATAAATGTTAAGAAGATTATTCACAGATTCTCTGTTATCTTATCTATGCATTACTACAAAAAGTCCACTTGCATGCATGATTGAACGTTGCAAGCACAAACCCTAAACGCAAAATCAACGCTATCCAACGGAAATACCATTTGAACTCGGAGATACTTTTCACCGCATGAAAGATCCCCTCGCCCTCCCGAATTCTTTCCCTCAAGCAAATACAATTTTGGCCTTACTAATCCTCCACTTATCTCCCTCTTTATATAAGAAAATGCTTTGACTACTATGTTTTTAAATCATACTTTGTAGATTATGTGATATAACAGTTAATAGTTGAATTTTTTTTCAATGTGTCACATCATTTATTCAGCAAACTGTAATTCAGATTAGATAATCTCTTTAACATCACCAATTTGAGAAAATATTTTAGTGTGCCGAGAACACGGCTCAGTACACAAACTGTCATAATACAGGTGGTTGTAAATTTTTTTTTTTCAAATATTCAACAACTTATATTATGACATTTGATATACCAAATCATATTTCCATAAAATCTCTCCACCCATTTATCTAAAACCCCACACATTTAAAGGTGTCTTTAGCATCACCCATTTATATAAAACCCCACACATACAAATTACAATACAAAACAACCCCACATCGACATCTCCATGTATAAACCTACCTAAACAAACAACATATACTCCCTAGCACTAGCAGAGGCTTCCGAGCTATCAATCTCTCCGAACGGAACAAAACAACAGAAACTTCGATGGACATGGAGGCTCACGAGTCGCCGCCACCGCCTTCATCCCTAACTCGGCTCAACAACTACGTCGCCAAAACCCGAGTCGGCAAGCACTTCAAACTCGCCGAGCGCAACTCCACTTTCACCACCGAGCTCCGCGCCGGCACCGCCACGTTCCTCACCATGGCCTACATCCTCGCAGTCAACGCCTCCATTCTTTCCGACTCCGGTGGTACCTGCTCCGTCTCCGACTGCATCCCTCTCTGCTCAGACCCGACCCAGTCCCTCCAAAACTGCACCGGGTCCGTCATCCAACCGGACTCCACGTGCAAATTCGACCCGGTCAACCCTGGCTACTCCGCCTGCTTGGAAAAAGTCCGAAAAGACCTCATCGTTGCCACCGTTGCGTCCTCCCTCATCGGCTGCTTAATCATGGGCGCCTTCGCGAATCTCCCGCTCGCTTTAGCTCCGGGTATGGGCACCAACGCCTATTTCGCATACACCGTCGTCGGGTTTCATGGGTCGGGTAATGTCTCGTACCAGAGCGCATTGGCCGCCGTGTTTATCGAAGGCTTGATTTTCCTCTTCATCTCCGCAATCGGGTTGCGCGCTAAGCTCGCGAAATTGGTTCCAAAACCGGTTCGGATCAGCTCCTCCGCGGGTATCGGACTCTTTCTGGCGTTTATCGGGTTGCAGAACAATCAGGGAATCGGGTTAGTCGGGTACAGTTCATCGACGTTAGTGACGCTTGGAGGCTGCCCCGCTTCCTCGCGGGCATCTTTGGCTCCGTCATAACGGCAGTTAACGGCACCGTTAGTTTGATCCAGGGTGGTGCCGTTTCGGGGGATATTATGTGCCTCCGGGACCGAATGGAAAGCGCCACGCTTTGGCTCGGCTTGGTCGGCTTCGTAATTATTGCGTATTGTTTGGTTAAAAATGTGAAGGGGGCGATGATTTACGGGATTGTTTTCGTAACGGCCGTTTCGTGGTTCCGTAACACCAAAGTAACGGCGTTTCCCAATACGGATGCGGGAGACTCAACGTATGAATACTTCAAGAAGGTGGTTGATATACATACGATTGAGAGTACGGCCGGGGCACTAAGCTTCAAGAGTATCGGGAAGGGGTATTTTTGGGAAGCACTAATTACATTTTTATACGTAGACATACTAGACACGACCGGTACTCTCTACTCCATGGCCCGGTTCGCCGGATTCTCAGACGAAAATGGCAATTTCGAAGGTCAATATTTTGCTTTCATGTCGGATGCTTCGTCTATTGTGGTGGGTTCCTTGTTGGGCACGTCACCCGTGACAGCATTTATCGAGTCCTCCACGGGGATACGGGAGGGTGGACGTACGGGGCTAACGGCGTTGACGGTGGCGGGGTATTTCTTTTTGGCGTTTTTCTTCACGCCGCTATTGGCTTCGATACCGGCTTGGGCGGTGGGGCCGCCCCTGATCTTGGTTGGGGTGCTGATGATGAAATCAGTGGTGGAGATTGAGTGGGACGACATGAGGCAGGCGATCCCGGCGTTTGTGACGTTGATTTTGATGCCGTTGACTTACTCCATTGCGTATGGGCTGATAGGTGGGATCGGAACATTCGTAGTGTTGCACGTAGGGGATTGGGGCCATGAACTTTTGGTCAAATTAGGGTTTTTAAAGGGGGGAGCAGGAGGTGTTGTGGTCAATGGGGCACATGATCAAAGTAGAGAAAAAGATGCAAAAGTACTAGAAATTGGAGTTTGAGATTTTTAATTTCACCAAATGTAACAAAATTGGGGTGGTTCAAAGAAAAATGTACATATTTTACATATTGTTTCAAATGTCTTGCTAGACTTTTGGATTTATGTTAATTTTATTTTTCGGAATTGATAGCTATTTTGTTTTGTATACAAACGATGTTTAGCTGATGCACGGTAATGTTACTCACTTGAGCTGTTAGTTTTATTTTTCTTTTCATTTTGTATTTGTGTTGTTTGCGTTACTTTTATAGTAATGAGTGTGTTCATAAGCGCTCAGTTAGAAGTTTTCATTATAAATATGTAAAAAATTTATTTTCAAGTGCTTCTTAGAAATGCGCTTGGAATCTCTATAAGTGATTTTACGATCTAAACGCGCTTTAGATTTTATCTGCCAAATATAGCTAAAAGCGATTTGGTTCTCTAAAATACTTTTAACTATTTCATAAAAAAAAAATAAAAATACAATCACTAAGAAGCCCTTAATTATGTTAGATGACTTGGATCTTTTTATCTATTTGGTTTCTATTTAAATCATGCGTGCTTATTTTCCCAAAACCAATAACAAACCGGATTAAGATATTTATCGTTTGATCATCAAAATAAGTTGTAAAATCCTCATGAAAATTGGTTTTGAGTCTCTCCCATGGTTATTAAGGTCTGGCAATTTCATACACAATTTGTTAATCCGATAAGAAAATAACAAATTTCAAGTATACCTGTTAATGATTTGGGTCGTTATCGGGTAATCTATTCAAAACACATTAACGTGTCTAGTTATTATCGGGTCATCTGTTAAGAACCCGATAAGATATTGTTTGCCAGATCTAGACATGAGTAGAAATTGACATAACACGATATGTTAACGAATGGGATCGTTCTTGGGTCACTTGTTACGAATATGTTAAGATAACTGTAACATAAAAACAACCTGATCATGGTAAACACGACCCATTTGTCGGGCATAATTACCATATTTCCAAGGAGAATATAATAATGTATAAAATATATATTTCTATATATGTATTTTCACCTTTTCTTTTATCCAGTACTATTTATGGGTTCTCCTTTTTCTAGTAATTAACTATATCACATAATATTAAAAATAGAAAAAGAAGTTTCGCACAATCCATAAAGTATACTTTTTTAATTGCTACAAGATAAGATTAATGACATAAAGTATTTACTTAAACCAAGCAAATAATGGCACTAGCCACTTCTTTCGGGCCAAGGCCAACCAGGACACGTGAAATCAAGTTCATATTCTGTGTGACAATTGATTCTCATCTCAAGGTTTCTCGACAACACATCCACATCAGAGTTTGACCATCGCTGACGAGCCAACTATATTTAGGTTAAACTATGTATCAATCTTACTTTCGTGTGAATTGGATCTGAGATTTCCTCTAACCATATGAACACAGAACATCCATAACAAAGCACGACATAACAACAAAAGAAAACCGTATTTAGGATGATCGTTTATATCAATCAGACATCCTTATGAATTACACATGAGATTTTTTCTAACCAAGGGAAGACAATCGTTGTTTGAAATTTCTTCAATACAGTCGAATTTTCATGGAAATATAAAAAAAAACACTACTAGAATTATGCTCATTGCCCACCATTTTTTGCACACCCTTTGCAATTAGTGGCCATAGATATAAAGCTGCTACTCTTACTATATTTTGGTGGCTTTACAGTGGGATGTCACTGATATCAGTGGCCTTAAGAAATCAACCACCAATGATTGGTGTCTTTTAACTAACTTTATTTCTTAAAATTACACCAAAGACTTTTTACATGTTTTTTCAAGTTTGGGACCTGTTTTTTTATTTCTTTTTCAGTCTTCTCCTTTTTATCTGTCAAAAATAATTGTTTTTTCATTTAATAATCCTATTCTACAGTAGTTTCACCCCCAAATAAATACGAAGTTAGACAACCTTAATTTTCAACCCAGCCGTTCTCTCTCGTTCTCTCTCCTCCCTGAGCTCAACTCCTCGCCTCCTCGCCTCCTGCCTAACCCTTTCGATGGGATCGATAGCTCGGTGTGGGATTTGGTGAGGGGAAGGCATGCGGCTTATAGAGAGAAGGAGGAGGAGGAGGAGGAGGAAGAGGAGAGAGAGAGAGAGAGAGAGAGAGAGGGATTCAGTGAATGGAAGGCATGCGACTTGCAGAGAGGAGGGAAGGAGGGAGGGAGGGAGGAGAAGACGAAAAACAACTGCAGCAAGTTCATGGACAGGGTCGCAGCAATGAAGACCCCTCGGCAGTCGATTCAAGTCAATCTGGGTAAACATTGATATATAAAACTTATTTATATGTTAATAGTATGGTTTGAACAACAACATTTTCTACTTTCTAGAGTTCATCCTCTTTATTTTAGCCCAGGCCGACTCACTCCACTCTGTTCGAAGATCTTTAGCTTTTTCACACAAATTGCTCAAAAATTCTTGCTCTCAAACATCTTAAATCCCTCACTCAACCTTCTGGCATCAATGCCCCAAAGGTATATTTCTCTCATTGCTTTCAGAATTCAGTCTGTATATGTATATATGCTAACATGTATATGAAGACCTTCACATATGGTAGAACTAAAAGGACGGTAGAATGTTTGAATAATGGAATAGAGTCGAGATTATGGTGAGAAATAACAGTAAATAGCTATCACTATGTGAATGTCTTATTTTCTTTCATTATGTAATAGCTATCACTAATTTTTGTTTTTACTGTCTTATTGTATTTCCCATGTTGAGAGATAGAACTAAAAGGACAGTAAAATGCTCGAATAATGAAACAGAGTCGAGATTATGCCCGAGGTATCTGGTAATCTTTCTACTTTACCAAAGCCAAATTGCAGTTTGTTTTGGAACAAAGAAAGATGCCCTGTTAATCTAGGGATATGGCACCCCTTTGGTTTTTGGATAGGATTTGGTGCATTATCAAATAAGAGCTTTTTTTTCTTTAGAATTATCCAATCAGTGCTTATGTATGCTATCTGCAGATGTTACAGTAACAAATGCAAATACAAGTTGAGAGAAAGATCATATTCCTTTTGTGGTGCAGCTGGAGTTTGTTATCGTATGCGGTGCTTTTAGTTTTATGGCCATATGAAGCTATAGATGCAAATATTTCTTAAGGTAGTCTTCTTCACTATGAATAGATTCATACATGCATACTTATTCACGTTTGCATACAGACTTTGGGGTTGCTAAGATTTTCCTTTGGGTTTCATAGGTACATGATGATCCTTCTAACGCTCCAGTTTGATGGTCCAACTCAATGGGTAAGTAATGCCGTTTATTTTCGTGCGCATGTTTTCTGGAAGTTCATTCCTGTTCTGGGATGTTTGAATATACATGCATTGTTTAAATTACAATATTTTATTAAGCTAAACTGTTTAAATTACTTCTTATTTATAATTTTAGCCCTTGCGCCACTTGGAGGGACTGTTGGTTGATCTCATAACAATTGATGTAAGTTCCTTACTTCCGTAATATGGTGCCTGGAGTGACTGCTGGTAGAGCTCATAGCAATTGCTGTAAGTCCCTTACTTCCGTAATACAAACACTTACATTTATGATCATTTTTGTGTTAAGACGATACAATTATAACTTATAATCGTCTTACATAAATCAACGCATATGAATATCGAATTTACCTGCATTACTCGAATAATTTGCTTTTTGATTCCCAAAGGGAATTAATAAAAACCCAATATCTGTGTAGAAGTTTAGTTTCCAACTTTCTAGTAGTGAAAATGTTGCCCATTGTGCAGACTACATCCTTTCACACACTCACTTTTATATGGTTAAACATATATATTCAAGATTTTGATCTCTGTGTGATTTGGCAATACTTTTCACCTAATATTCCTCTCTTTCTCTCATGAAGGCATTCATTGCATTAAAAAAAGGTTCCCAGTTAATCAAGTATAGCCGAAAAGGGAATCCAAACTTCGTCCATTCAGAATTTCTACTGTGGGTAATTTCCTTAAGAGAAGAACAAGTTTGAATCACTTTTTTTTGGAATTGTGTTTATTATAGTTCTTTGAATGAAAATCCTAATTTGTACAAATTACAAGGTATGTTACCACTCTCCTTAGTCTACATATATGCAGTGTGCAAAGTTACATCTGTTCTCAAGAATGAACCTGTTTTGTTCCATCCTTCTGTTATACTCTTATATAAAAAAATTATCATAATTCATCCTAGAGCTATATAAATTAGGTTACTAATTTGTTTATGCATTTCTTTGTTAATCGTTTCTATTCTCACCAATTTTTCATCCTTGCCAAGTAGGTTTTTGTCAAGAGTTACTATGATCAACTTCCCTTTTACAATTTCTGTCTTCTATCATTTTCTATTATGTAATTAAAATGTCATATCTTACTGAAAAATAATGTCACTGTTGATGACCCGCAACATCGCGCGGGCATCAGTGTTAGTTTATTACTAAGTCTTAATGGTGTAGGGTATATGTAAATGAATTCAATTAGAACTCACTTTTTTGTTATCTATTTTGTAGCTACCTTGATCATTAGTTGGTGATCTCTTGTATTGGAATTCCTGGTTTTTTTAGTTTCTGAAAAAAAAGAAAATGTTAATGCATTTATATGTGTGAGTATGCGCACACTCTTCACTGATATTCCATTCTCATTTCTGTTCTCCCTCATTCATATGTAAATGTTTTGTTGTATCTTGTCATCTGCCCATTGGTCATAAATATAGTATCTATGCTTTCTTTATCTTATTCTTGAATACCCACGCTAATTAGGAGATCATTTGTTGTTTCAAGGTTAAGGGTGGTCTGCATATTCATGAACTTGTCAATTTAATATGTTCTTGGTTGAAGTTGCATAAGGGTTGCAGTGAATTTGTGGAGATTTTTGTATGGTAAATGACTACAAACCCCTTGAAAATCTACTTTTCCCTGGTATTTATATGATCATATCTCAGTGTTGTCCTCAACTATAATCACTTTCAGTTGGACTTTAGTTAACGTTATTCTTACAAAATTTGTGGGTTTAATTTTGGGTGTAGGCTGCAGCTGATGATCAGATTCAGGTTATTGAGATGATTAAGCTCTTGGAAACAAAGGGTTCAAAGACTTTTTAAAGTTTGGTTCCAACATTTGTACAAAATTCTATAATATATCAGTTATGCAAATTTATAGTTGTATTCTTATATT